CGAAATCAAAGTCCAGCAACGATGTCTGAGTCACCGAAGTCCGAGAAGTACATGTGCCTCACTCGGTTCAGCACGCCAGTTCCCGAATTAGATGATCATCGTTTTCAACTCGATTCCCCACCTCGCATCGAAGCTACCGCTGATATTTCTCTGAGTCGGCAAAACACTGCTCAGCAGGCCTACCCTCCAGAGACGCCTCAGCGCCCCGATTTGCTCTCAATTCAAGATGCGCTTAGGGAGGCGGGGTCTTTCTCCCGGGATTTCGAACAAGCTATACTGGATGATGATCGATCAGGCAAAGATGTCAATGCCCTGGGCCGTCGTTTCTCCGTCGATCCAACCGGGAATGTCCGCCATGGCCGGACGTGGAGTCGAACCCACCAGGAACTTGCGAATATGTCACGAGAATCATCCCCCTCAGCCAGATCATCGTCGCCTCCGAATTCAGTTGAAGCCTTTGCAGACCCTCGCCGCCGCGAGCGTGCGAATACTTTGGAAAGCCATGCGGCTCCAGATCTCGAGGCCATTCTGCAGCGCACAGTGTCCGGCGGTACTCATCCCCGCCGTCCGACATTTAGTAACGCAAGTGCGATCAGACCGCAACCAGGCGATATTCAGCTAGAACCAAATGACGAGACTTGCGTGCCGACCTATGACCAGCCTGGCAGGATTCCGGTGATCGACTACGAGGAATTGGAGGAATTTGTGGCTCTGAGCCGGCAAATGAAGCCCTCGACTACTCGGCGTAAGCACAGCCTGAGCTCTCAAAGTCGGGGACCTCGCGTTTTCTATGATCTTCGCCCAGGGGCCCGGAAGTCCGATGTTGAAGGCGAGAAGCGTTCTTCGAGTGCTGATCGCTCTTCTTCGGACCTTATGGGCGCGGATTTGAAGACAGCCGAGAAGGTCTATGCGAACGTCGTGGATGAAAAGGACATAGTCGAAAAGCTTCAGAATGAGAACGAGCCGACCCGCTTCGGCTTCTTCTCATCCGAGTCCCAGAGTACTGTGCATGCGGCAGAGCTAGGGGACCTTGTGCTTCCTGGTGATACTTTCAGGGATCTCTTCCAACTTGGCCCGGAGGGAGGTGTGTGGTGGTTGGACGTGCTCAATCCAACGGAGGAGGAAGTTGCCGCACTCTCGCGAGCTTTTTCCATCCATCCGTTGACTACGGAAGATATCTTGACTCAAGAAGCCCGTGAAAAGGTTGAGCTTTTCAAGCAATATTACTTTGTCTGCTTCCGGACATTCTATCAGCTCGATAAGACAGACGAACGCTTCATGGAGCCCGTCAACTTCTACATGGTTGTTTTCCGCGATGGTGTCCTCTCATTCTCATTCACCGAGAATCCACACGCGGCAAATGTCAGGAAGAGAATCGGGAAGCTCCGTGATTATGTGTCCCTCAGTAGTGATTGGATCTGTTATGCTATGATGTAAGTCTGAAGGGCAAGAATTACAAATGAGAAGGTCTGTTCTAACGTCGGCACAGTGACGATATTGTTGACAGTTTTGGCCCTGTCATCCGAGAGATTGAGATCGAATCTGAGGCAATTGAGGACCTCGTTTTCATCGCGCGCGTCGACGATTTTGAATCCTTCCTACCACGGATCGGTGGCCTTCGCAAGAAGGTCATGAGCTTGATGCGCCTTCTAGGTGGCAAAGCAGATGTCATTCGCGGTTTCTCCAAGCGTTGCAATGAGCAGTACTCTGTCACCCCGCGTGGAGACATTGGCCTGTACTTGGGTGACATTCAAGATCACGTGGTGACCATGATGTCAAATTTGGCCCACTTCGAGAAAATGCTCAGCCGCTCACATACCAACTATCTTGCGCAGCTCAACGTCACTAACCTGGTGCTGGGCAATCATGTCAATAAAGTCCTGAGCAAGGTGACGCTGATCGCGACCATGTTGGTCCCGATGAATCTGATCTGTGGTCTGTTCGGAATGAATGTCCGAGTTCCTGGTGAAGGGGAGGAAGGCCTGGGATGGTTCTTTGGCATTGTAGGGGTCATTGCAGCTGTTATTGTCCTCAGTGGTATAGCTGCTCGGTATTACAAGCTTGTTTAGAGCAGCCTGTACAGTTTTCAGTTGCCGTTCGTGTGTGTCATATAAATAGCAAAGTATATACGGTTTTGGCTTATAATGCATTGCACTACCTGTCTATCCTTCAGCTGGTCGTCATTGATGTCTACTCCCGCTATTACAACTACCATCCGGCTGCGCATGTTGGTCTTTGCATGACAGGAGATGATATGGAGTCTCTGTGTTTAAGAAAGTAGTATGAAGTAGTATATGTGTGGCTGTGCCGTTGCTGTGGCGCAGATCCCTCTTAAGGTTCTGAACTATCGACATGGAGATGGGTGCCGCGTGTCTAGATCATAGGATCGAGCTGGTTCTCTTGCTTCGACACTCTCGCGACGAACTTTTCGCGAATGTTTTCACAACATTGCTTTTCACAGGTCTCCAGCATGAGAGAAAGCCGTTGCCTTATCTCTGGTCGATTCTGTAATATTCGAGTCTGATGTCGATATCTTTCTTCGGAGTTCAATCCATTGATCCAACTATCCATGCGGACTGATTTTTCATCTATGCATTACCTTTCAGCTGCATATTTCGGCGCCTTAATACTATACACCCCTACCTCTCTCATCAAGACGTGCCTTGCTCTTGATCCGGCCTCGGATTCCGCCCTCGTGATCTCCAACAACACCAATGTAATTCTACACGACACCGCACAACAATTCACATTCCCGCTTGGATCATACAGTGGACTTGAGGTTCAGGATACCGTGAGCGAAAATGGAGAGACTCGAGGACTCGACCTTGTCCCCAGGGTTCCATCTGGCGTATCATCTCTAGGCAACAATCAGTACCAGATCGGCGATATCAAGCTCGGAGAGACTCAATGGTGGTATTTTCCCAAGGAGTCCGTGAACGGCAAGAAATCTAACGCCACATCCGGGCTCCCTGAGAGTATTTCTGATGACGGATCGAGCGAGCAAACTGGCAGTTCCGACGAACTTCGGAAGCGAGACGGAGACATCGTCAAGCGCTCGACCTCCGTATATCTTTCTCTGACGATGTGCTCAAAGCCCGAGATCAACAATACCAATGGCACTATTCCTGATTCTGTCCCGTCATTGCCGGAATTGAATTTATACGTTTCTACCTCGGAGTCACTCCAAAAACCGGGCCCGGGACAAGATAGCTCAAAGCAGAAAGTGTTCACGGCTGATGAGGGCTATTTGGGGGCTACTGTGCAGGCAGACGGGGACGTTTTCATAGGGATTGCAGTGCAGAATTCAACGGCGTACTCTGGGAGCTACAGGTACGAGATTGCTGCCTCAATCGACGCTTACTTCCACAGCGTTGTGGACGAGCCATTTTTGCACTTTGTTGACTCGGACATCCACGCTGCACTCTTGACAACAGACAATTTGACCCTTTCAGAAGAGGGGAGCGAGAATTATCAGCAGTGGATGAATCTCACGCCGCCGTTCACAATGTTTGCTCATAATGTGAATGATACGGCAATCTCAGGTCTTCAACGGTCATACTGTGCTCTCGACCAATTAGCCCAGATTGGGAAAGGCGATCACGAGGTTGAAGGGGGTATGACGAACCGCGGTCTGGGCAAGAAACCTAAGGAGCAGTTCTACATCACTGGTCTCAACCGAACTTCCAATTACTCTGGAATTCTCGCAATGCATGGAAACTCGACCAATTGGGGGAACGGGATCGTTGGCGGAGGAGGGAGGGTCTGGAAACCTATGTACTTTGCAACCAAGTCAGGTGAGCAAACCAGTCGCCCATGTCTTTCTCTTGTATCGAACGAAGGTACTGACCTGGACCAGATGACAACTGTGCCGTGCTTTTCAATCTGACATTCTGCTCCGAAGTTGCGTACGCAGTCCCATCAAACCCTGATCTTGGGATCGCACAACTTGGTTCGAAATACGACAAATATGCCGAGTCTCTGTACAAGAACTTCTCCTATTCTCTGGATCAGATCCAATGCAACACAACCAACGAAACCAGCTTCTCTTTGGCCGTGGGTTGCAACGATTGTGCGGATGCTTACAAGCAATGGCTTTGTGCGGTGACCATCCCCCGTTGCGCTGACTTCTCGAGCAACGGTTCGTTTCTCCGGGTCCGAAACGCGGGTCAACCATTCATCAACGGCAGCTCTCTCAGTCCCAGCGACCCCAGGCGCAGGGATCCCGCGCAGAACAAGTCGCGCAATTCCATGATAGACGATCAAATCCGCCCGGGCCCTTACAAGGAGATCTTGCCGTGCCAGGACATCTGCTACAGCTTGGTAAAGCGCTGTCCCGCCGCCCTTGGGTTCAGTTGTCCCCAGGGTAAGTGGCTCAATTCTGCCTACGGCCAGCGCGTTTCCAGCAGCGAGATCACCTGCAGCTATCCGGGGGCGGCGTATGACTTGAACGCTGGACGGGCCATCCGCGAGCCTCTGGGTTGGCTTCTGCTTGCAACGGTGAGCTTCTGGTTATCTTTCTGGGCTCTCAGCGTGGACGCTTAGATGCATTACTTTTTCTCAGGGTTCTTCCCATCGGAGTGAATTCACGGTGCAGAAAAATCATGTGTCTGATCCTGGTTTCGATGATACCCTCCCTGGCATAAGATCTATTGTTTGCTATCTGTTGTTGAAAGTTTACCATTGCATAGACTAGTTGAATTTCATTTTCTACATAATTTTCATGGTTCTGTAGTTACCAAGAGGATTGGTATAGATTGCAATGGGACGTGGCCTCGTCCGCATGACCACCTTCGGGGATTGTGATCTTGCTATATCATGATTAAGAGAAGGGCATGGGAGCAACTGCCCTGTGAATTGAGAACAACTGAAAACCCGCCTCGCAATGCAACAGACCAGCAACGCCAAATATTTCAAATCATCCGGAGAAAATCAAACATAATGTAATGGCTCAAGCGAAGAGATAAGACAGAGCTTGCCGGATCGTAGGATAAGGTCAACAATCATTTAGCTCTTCTGGGAGTAGGGGTCCACATATTTCTCAGACTCGACGAGGAACTTGCTGCCGGTCGAGGCGTGCTGCCAACCCGTTGCAGTAGTTTCTGCGCTGCGGGGGTCAAAACCTTGCCCTGTCCGCTGGAATCCGCAGCTGCAGGGGTACGTAGCCCAAAATCCAACCGAGGACTGCTGGCGAAGCGTGGCGTTACGGGCGTCCTAACCTCGCGCGCGGCCTTCTCGGCGCGTTTCGTTCTTGCTACCCGGTCGACCATGCGGTGATGCAGATCTTCGCGCTTGCGGTTCTCCCGGATCGAGAACGGGTTGGGGGTAGAGTCGCTCGCCCCGAGCAAGCGAAGATCGTCACCTGACAAGGAGGTCAACTCCGAGGTTTCAGCGGCAGTATGGTTGTAGTCCGGTTCGGGCTCGTCCTCGTCGACAAAAGCATATCCGTTAACCCGTGGCGTCTCGCCCCCCGCGTATCCCGCTTCGGATTCCGTGAATCGGGGCCGGCCAGCAATGGCATCTTTGATGGCGGATATCGATGGCGAGGGAGGGACGTCGTTGCCCTCCGCAGCAGCAGAACCGTGCTGGACACTCGGCTCCGGTAGCCTGGTATTCTCGTGCACCACTCGCTTAGGCCCGGCGCGCGAGACCGCTTCAGCTTTCTGTGAAATGGTCTCGTGTGTATCCTCGATGGAAGACGGCATGAACATGAGCGAGTTCTCCGGTCGGGACTTCCACGTATCAGGTTTTGCGGGCCGGGCGTCCAAATCCGTCTTGATCGCTAGCTGTCGCTCAGTAATGCCTCCCTGTGCTGCGATGCGTTTCGCTTCCCGTTGTCGGTGGGCAATCTGCCGAGCAGTAGGGATCTTGTTTCCGCTCCAGAGCCAGGCATACTTCTCCTGGCGTTTGGCATTCTGTTTGTCCAGAAGTTTATTGAACGACTCGTTGTCTTCGCTGGTGTACTTGGCCTGGAACGCCATGAGCCCCAGGTTGGTGACATCTGGAATATCTTTCGGAGTGGTCTGGGCTATCGCGGTCGTCGTCGTCGTCGTTGAGATCACCGACCTCGGCGTATCACCTTGCCAGCCGGCCGGGGTGTGATCCGGTCGTTCTGTACCGTGGAGCCGCGGAGTCATTCCACTTCTGCTGCGAGCTCTGCCGGGAGTCTTCAGCAAATCCGTGAGCCTCTTTTTTGAACTCAAAATCCACTCTCTGTCCTTCGATTCCAGAGCGTCAAGATACTCCTGCTTCACTTGCTCCTCCAGCAGTCCAGGAAAGTAGTCACGAGCAATGATCTCCGATAAGGCATTCGTGTAGACATCTTCGTCCAAAACCGTAGCTGGCCGTTTGATCCGCTTGGGTGGAGGAGGAGGGGGCATGAGACTCTGTTCGCTTTGACGTTTGGTCAACGCCTGCGATGGAGTGGAGGTCATGTTGAACGACTTCGAAGGGTGGGCTGCGAAGACGACAGTCAGGAAAAAGAGCCTGTTCAGATGAGTGGTTGTCCTGATGAGAGCCGCATGCTGATAATCAGTGACCACATGATCTCCTTGTCCTTCCTTCCTTCCTTCCTTTCTTCCTGGACTTTCTTTCTGTCTTTCGTTCGATGAAAAGTGAAGGTTTGAGCGGGTCTATGGAGTAAAAGGTTGATAAGACGGCGGAAGTGGCGTCTGGCGGGCACGACGTCACGTTATCTGGAACGATACCTTACTTTACACTTGAGAAGCTTCAAAGCTTGGTAGGATTGCAACTTTTGATACAAATCTAGTTGTATTCGATTTCTTCAACAGAGAGAAACTTTTCTGTACAGAACAATCAGATGAATCCGCCCAGCATTGCAGAGAATGCCTAGAAATCATTCCTCTTTTGTTTCTCGCCAAAATCAAAACATGAAACCGGCCCGATCCATGCCTTTCTATGTGTGTACAGAGCTGTGTTCAAGATTTTCAACGAGAGATGTGAACAGGACAAAAAAGATTCCAACCAGAAGATCACAACACGAAGAAAAAGAAAATCAAAGGCAGGAAAGAGCGTGGTCTGCCTTGCAAAGTATCCGATCCCATCCCATCCACTGCATTTTCCCAACCGTCCATGCCAGAGAAAACACCCAGCAGACATCTCTTCGTTTTCCCCTCCAAAACAGTCGCTGAGAAATGCAAATCGAATCTAAATCACTGACGCAGAGAACACCGAGAGTGCAGACTTGAACGAAGGTATGCAATATAGTCAACAAAATTTAAGATAAGATGAAAGGCTGAAAACATAGCAGGATGCTAACAACAAGGAAATGAGAATCGTCAAGTCGTGGAAGAAGTCTATGGAGCGATTGTTCGGTTTGAGAGGAGCAAAAAAGGAAATCACAAAAAGATTGAACGTATGAAAAAAGAGAGGGGAAGAGACAGTACGCTTCTTCCAAGATCGGTCCATGCTTCTGGAGCAAACCTCCTAGGCGGGGGTAGCGAATTGCCTGCAACAGCTTCAATTCGCTGCAGGAGTAGGGAAAAGAGAGTATGATGTCCTGCCTTTCTTTCGATTCGGGCTCTTCACCGGAATTGGAGGAAGCGGTGCTGAAGCATTACTCTTAATAGTCCTAACGGTCCGTGGGGCTTCTACCTCAGATGTTGATTTGGCTCTATCGTGAACTGAACCAGTTGTCCGCAACGGGTCCGCAGAGTCGGGGCTGGAGTTTTTCTCAGCTCGCGACATGATCTGTGTCTCAATCTCTCGTGCCAGACTCTTCGTTTGCCGGTGCTGGGAAGAAACTTCCGTACGTCCTGCCAACGATGGTGCTGTATAACCCGACTGCTCCGTAGAGGGCAAGTGCTCCATGGATGGCAATTCCCGGCTGCTCGCCAGACTATGCACCAGTTCTGGGACGCTGGCCGTGGAGACAGAGGAACGATGTTTGCGCACAATCGATGCGGCGCGGGAAAGTATCAGGCTTTCCTGCGAGTTGCACTTGCTGATGGGAGAAAAGCTGCTCCGGGGAGATACCGGATGGTCCATAGCGTGAATTAGTCCCTGTGAGCAAAAAGAGAAATGCCGGTCTGATTCCGCATCAGCTGCCAAGTACTCCTCGTATAGGATGTCCTGCGTCATCTGTTTTCCGAGTGCAGAGGGGAAGATTGAGGAACTGACGGCCTGGAAATAATCTCCGCCGGTAGAGACGATTTCGTTCTCATACTCTGCGCTGGACGGGGTCACAGCTGCTTGGGAGCTGGGTAACGAACGGGCTGGGCTGGGATCCAACTCCGGAGTCGGGAAACGCGACGTGCTGAGGTGAATAGGCTGGAGAAGCCTGGCATCCTTGCCTTCGTTTGCCGCCCCGCCACAAGCTGCTCTGGGGCCATCATCGTTATCTGCCGGCCGAGCTTCATCGAGAGAATTACGTGACCAGTCAAAGTTCGACGTGGACTCCGCCGCATGCTCGTAGCAATAATCGATATCAGCGTCCCAAGACTCATAGATGGTTTCATAGGCGGGTTTGCGGCGAGCGGACGACCGCCGGCGAATTGGCCCTCCGACCACTTGGTCGCCCGCATCCTGGAACAGACGATACTGTGGAAGAGTAGGGGAGCCGAGTGCCTCGGAAAACTTCTTGGAGAGCTCCTCAGCAACGCAGATGGACAGCTGAGACTTGCGACGATGAACAGACGGGATTGGCACCTGGGCTGGCCGGTCTATCTGAGACGAGGATGGAGGCATTGCTGTGTCAGCATTCGCCTCGGGGCTATCATGCCAGTGAGTGATGCCCTGTTCCTCTGGTACTTCTTCCAAGACAGAGTTGAGGCTAGGAAGGGAGACAGAGGAGGTCCTAGCGTCTATCCTTTCGGTGTTCGTATCAGTGGTGACAGCATGCTCTGCATGAAACGAATATATCCCTTCAACTTTAAACTGGGACAGGGAAGAGCACTGTTTCACGTCGTCTGTATTGCCATACACGTGTTCAGGGTATGTGGGCTGGGAGGACAAGCCCAGAATTTCGTCAATGGCGCGTGGTTCGGGCTCAGACAAGTCGGGCGAAGCTGTCAGTTGAGGGGAAATGGCTCTCGGTGGAGGAGTGGCGGAGCCGGCTCTGGGATATCTCGGCACTGGACGAGAAAAGTTCTCAAAGACGCGCGATTCTCTTCTGGCCCTATGATCCTGCTGTTTCGGACTGATCGAAGATGTTGCACTTGGAGAACCCGGTGGGCTTGTCGGAGCTGGAGAAGTTTGGTGCTCTGCAGTAGCTGCTCCGCCATTTGTGAGATCTTCCGATGAGAAGCCTTGAAAATGGAGATCGTCTGCCCGAATGCCCTTGAGTCCCGTGATCGGTCTCTGCGAGGCACGGATTGCGGAAAATTCGGTGACAATGTCATTTTCTCTGGCTTTATCCAGCGCCTGAAACTGGGACGGACTCGTATGAGTCAGATGGTGGAAATCAAAGGGATTGGAAATCAGGCTCTTCAAATGTTCATCTGCAGACCAATGTTACCGAAGGAGTCAATTGAAAGTCTCTTTCTCACTGGCGAATGTTACCCAGGGCAGGGGCGTTGAGACTTACGGGCATCACTTTGTCGCGTCTTGTGGTGGCGACTGAAGATCTCTGAGACCTCGAAACGGGACTTCTCACGCTCTACTTCATCCTCCTCGTCAAGAGTGGCGGCGATATTGAACTTGCTTCCCTGACGGCGCAGAATACGGCTCCCCCGTGAAAAGAGCGATTTGGTCATACTCTCATGCCTCTCGGGCCTGTCCGGCCGGATACCTGCCGACGAGCCGGCCCGGTCTTCATGGGAGTAGGGCAATGAAGCAGCGTCAGCAGAGGTCATAGAAGAAGCGGGGGAGCGGCGGGAGGAGGTGCTGGAGGTGGTGGTATTGCTCCTGGATCGACCACTGAAGACCGAGAGGCGTTTGGGGCTGTGAGCATGAGCGGTTGATCTCGAACGGATGTGGGCCGTATACTCCGGAGGGTCATTGGAAGCTCTGGTGGATGGACGGTCCGAGAGGTCCGCCTCTTCTTGTCTTGCAAGCATGGTGGGACAGTGAGACAGATGGATCCCGAGAAGAAGACGATCTTTTGTGCGGGTGGACTGCAATGAGACGGTGTTTTGCGATCAATTGAAGGTGAATGCGAAGCCAGGCAGTTCATTAAACAAGCACTCAGGCGGGAAGATGCCGTTCCGCCGATGACCTTGGAAAGGGATTAATTCCCCAGATAAAGACGAGGATGGGCTGTGAGCGAGGGTCAAGATTGACCAGAGCATATAAAACAGATCTGTTAGGAGGCCAGGGATTGCAAGCGAGCCATTGACTCGTGCGAGACTGGCAGGGAGGGGGGAACAGTGATCGTTTCTCTTGTGTTTTAGAAATGTATCGGGTTCAGGAGACAAGTGAGCGGCATGGAACTCTAACACGAAGTATAAAGGGGTCTCTTGCAACAGAAATTGGACCAGAGACCAGCAAGCAGAGCAAGAAGCATTAAGTGAATGAATGACAGAATGAGAAAGATTGAGGCCTAATGAGCGGTGCACTGATCGATCGTCAAGAGGAGCAGTGTATCAAGGTGATGTTGTGTCGGAGGACAAGGATGACTTTCAGCCCACATAAAAAAAGAAGACCTAAAGGAATTGGAATAGTAATAATGATTGAGGGTGGAGCAAGTGATGGAGAAAGATGGACCGAAAAATCTCAGATTCGAGGGTCCAGAACGGCGGGCGACGAATAGTAGCAGTGGATGATGATGATAATAATAGGAGGAGGAGGAGGAGTGTCTAGCAGTAAGATCATACAACAAGACTAATTATCATCTAGACACTCCGTAGATACCCCATAACAATAATATAAAATCAACACGAACGAACAGGAGTAGCAGAGATGATGATGATGATGATCATATAAGAAACGAACGACGCGAAGACCACTACCTACTATGACCAGGTAGGCTAGTACGGAGTAGTATATACCACCACTAAGTACCTAGACTGATACCTAGTATCCTAGCCGAAGCAGCGTAAAGTGTAAACAATGTAAAATCGAGTCCGTTGTATCTAGAAGAAAATGAAAAATAATAATAAAAAATGAAAGGGTTAAATTAAACGATCGAGTCCATTTGATGATACACACACCGGAGTCTGGGGGAGATTCATGGAGGACCAGAACACTAACTAATAAGAGGGAGTTTTGACTGTGATTTATATATGTATGTACCTTAAATCATCTATCTACCTATTATTATCACGATCATTGAGTAGATAGCATAAGAGGAGGCTAGAGACCTCGAATTAGGTAGGTACATACTTACCTTAGCAGTTACCACCCCGTTGTACCTAGCTTCCCTGCTCCTTACGGAGGAGGCTGGCTTAACTGGACTCCTATTTTGCTTTTGCTTTTGATACGGAGTATGTCTGGATAAATGATGATAAGCCGACAGCCCACGTTCTCCCCGTTGAAA